ATGCTACAGATGTAAAACATCAGCTGATGAAGGTGAAGACATTTGAAAATATTGACTAGATAGAATTTACATATATTTACATATATTTATACATATTTATACATATATGATGAGAGAGAGAGAGAGAGAGAGAGGCTCACTTTCCAGAGACTCCATAGTTTTAATTGGTTTCAATTATATTCAACTTTGAATTAACAGCCATTGATTAAATCATGGACAATAAGAGCAGAGCAGCAGGAGGAGGAGGAGGAGGAGGAGGAGTCGCATATGAACAACCAGCTGAGAGACACTCACAACGTTAGTGTTGTTGTTGTTGTCATTGTTGTCGTTGTTGTCGTTGTTGTTGTCGTTGTCGTTGTCTTTGTTGTTGGCATTGTTGTTGTTGTCGTCGTTGTTGTTGTCGTTGTTGTTGTTGTTGTTGTTGTCGTTGTCGTCGTTGTTGTCGTTGTTGTTGTCTTTGTTGTTGGCGTTGTTGTCGTTGTTGTTGTCGTTGTCGTTGTTGTTGTCGTTGTTGTCGTCGTCGTTGCCGTCGTTGTTGTTGTTGTCGTTGTTGTTGTCTTTGTTGTTGGCGTTGTTGTTGTCGTTGTTGTTGTTGTCGTCGTCGTTGTCGTCGTTGTTGTTGTTGTTGTTGTTGTTTTTGTTGTTGTGGTCTTTGTTGTTGTTGTTGTTGTTGTTGTTGTCGCCCATCAGATCTATCACGTTTACATGATCTGTGACCTGAGGTGAACTCTCTCCAACACTGGAGGCTCACAGTAAATGATGGTGAAAAGGTTCAAATGGAAATCCAGTTAAAAACTTCACTTTAATGAAGCGAGGCTTAAATGGACAATTTCTGGCTAAATTAAATGAAAAGAAAACAGTTTCAGGGGTGGAAAAAAAGGGTCCGTTTTTTATTTTTCCAGTAAATGGAGCATCAAGAGATGAGAGACTTCAATGAATAATAATAAGTCAAAGAGACGAGGATTAGACTGAAGCTCAGTAACTGACAGTCAACAGATTTAAGGTGGAGTCACATGTTAGATTTAAGGTGGAGTCACGTGTTAGATTTAAGGTGGAGTCACGTGTTAGATTTAATTTTGATTTTATGTCATGGACTCCAGTGTAATACAGTGTAGTCACCTGTGTATGAGCCTTTAGTGGGAGCAGTTAGCCTTTAGCTCTAACCACATGCTAAGCTAAATCAAATGTTTTTTATTAAGACTCAGATATGATCAATGTTAAACACTGTCTGCAGTCAGTTCACAGACACAGCTGCTGTATATATACTGTATGGACGTGTGTGTGTGTGTGTGTGTGTGTGGCGTCGACCTTCTCACATGTTTGTTTATCTGCTCCAATGAACACACGTCTGTGAAAACACAGATCTTCTCACCCTGAGGCCACGTGCTACATTCACACAGTAACACCTGTTAGCCTGTTAGCAGTTTGTCTGGAGTTCAGGGATAATATATAGATATATATTATAAATAGATCTATATAGATATATATTATAAATATCCTCTCCTCTCTCCTCTCCAGTCTAAAGATGGCGGCGATTCAAGGAGGACATTGGCCAATACCCTTCACCGTGTGGGCAATCACTCAGTTAGGAAACAGCCAATAGCAATGAAGATTTCATTAGGGGTTTATTTAAGGCTAAGTAAAAGAAAGCTGCGAAACTGCAAAGTCCATTCGTCCATTTGTCAGTTCGTCCATTCGTCCATTTGTCCAAAGACAAAAGCACTTGATGTCCTCTGATGTCTTCCTGAAGAGTCTGTGATGGTTGACCTGGACACAGGGTCACGACCTCCTCATCACCTGTGAACCCATCTGGATGGTGCTCCTCCAATCCTTTCACCAAAGAGCCCGGACCCTCAGGCCGACGTGATGATGTGGTGAAAACGTGGAATTGTTCTAGAAGTCTCCAGACCGGCCTGGGTCAGAGGTCACCGTCTGATTGACTCAGGTTTTACCATAAAATCAAAGCTGTGTTTTGTTTTGTTTTGTTTTTTTTTCTTCTTTTTTTAAGTGTGTGTGTGTGTGTGTCAGTGAGCTGACCTCACACACACACACACACACACACAGAGGCTGTTATTGAATTAGTGGAGGAGAAACTGCCTCAAAGACAAAAGCTTTTCCTTTAAATCAAATCCCAACAAAGGGATCCACACTCCTTTGTTCTACAGTCCATCAGGACGAGGAACAAGGATCTAGGAAGAAGGAGGCGATGGTGCCAAGTCCAAGAGAGGAAGAAAAATCTCCTCCATTTTCTCTGGTTTTACTCTTAATCTCCAGACTGCAGATTAGTGGACGGTACAGAACATCCTCTTCTCTGAGACGTAACAGACGAGAGCAGAACAGGCAGAGTAAATAAATAGAAAGGTAAATCTATTCTCCGTGCATTTGTAAATGGATGGTGTACAAACACAATCTATTCTTACTGCGGCGGCGGCGGCGGCGGAGGGTGAGAAGAGAAAAGGACAGAAAAATCTGCTTATGGATCTGTTGATTTTGACAAACGTAGAGAAAAGCTTCAGACAATTTTCCTTTGTTTAGAGCTGAAGCCTCTGCGCTCTGTCACCACCAAACACCGCAGCGTGTACAAGACTGGAGACTGCTCTGCAGCCTTGAGCCAAAGAAGACAAAGTAGAACAGCATGCTCCTTTTTACTGTGTGATAGGATCAATCCTCTCAGGGAAATAATACAGCGCTTCCTCCTGATTGGATACTGGCTCCAGAGGATTCTGCTAAAGAGAAAAACTAATTCTGTCCAAGTCCTGCACACGCCGTCCCTGGTTCCACTGGAGGATCGGTTTGTCGTCGAGGGTCATGTGTGTAGAAATAATCCCTCCTTTGAGATGGTGCAGATTTCTGGAGCGTGATTGGACATACATTTTTATTTTGTTTGTTTACGATATAATACAGTAAATACTGTACGATATCAGAGGGTAAAATCCACCACAGACATACATTATATTTAATACCTTGGTGTCTGTGGGTTTTGAACCATGTTCTCCTTGGAGATTGTGATGTTCTGAAGAACCAGATTTGAAATCTGGATTAAGCACGGTACAGTCCAGTCCAGTCCAGTACAGTACAGTACCGTACGCTACAGTCCAGTCCAGTCC